ATGGGGAATAGAGACAGCCGTGTTCAGTTGCCACTGACTCAGTATGTGACCTTGAGTGAGTCACTTGGCCCTTATGCCTCAGTTTCTCTTTGTGTAAAATACCGGCACCTCTGTAAAGCACTTAAAGATTTACAAACGAAGGTACAAAGTATTGTTTTATCGTAGAACAGTAAAAGAGAAGGACAGTGGCTCAGCCATAATGAATCAGATGTGAAACATCGGAGCTGTACTCCACTCGCACACCACACAAGTTATGGCCATAAATCGATCACTCCTGATTAGGTTAGGCTTTACGATGCAGTAATTGCGATAGCAGCAGTTTCATAACTGTGAAACGAGCACTTTGCTCAGCAGTGTATTTTGCAGGAGGCCTGCACGAACAACGAGCTTTTGGTAAACCCGACTGCAACAGCAAAGAAAAGAAGCATCCCAAACACAATATACTTTTGAACGTTATCTGTCATAAAAGCTTCTCCACATGCTTTTATGGTCACAGGCTAACCCTGGATAAGCGCCTAGCCGAGTGGGAGGAGAGGGGAAGGAAATCAAACAATACCATGTTTAAAGAAAGACCAGATTTCAAGCAAATACATCGCTTTTTAGGAGGCACAACACAAAAATAAATGTTTCTCACAGATACAAGATGAAATTTTCAATTGGCCAGCAACTACAGAGCCGACTCTCTACTTCTTTCTGTGGGCCGCACGACTGCCTCAATACATAAGAACATTTTATGTGCCAACTTGCAATGAAGACCACATAGTTAATAGTTTGCAACCTCCTTTCCCCCAGAAGATCTCCAGAGTTGAGTAATAAAATTCCTCACATGATTTCAATGAGAGGGTTCACTTGTCAGAGGCTGTTTTAAGATAGTATCATATGTCAGGGAGGTGCTGTTCAGATGAAGCTTTCCAACCCTGTGTTTTCAAGGCTCGACTGAAAATGAAAAAACTTCAGGCTATAAAGTTTGAAACTGGAGGAAAGAAAAATAATCTCTGGACGTTATTTTCAAAATGTGGAAATTAGCCAATTAATGAGGGGAGGAAGAAAAACTCTGATTAAAGCTCTGACAAACCCTTGAGATCACAGACCGATTACTAGTTCTGTCGCAGACTCCATGTAGGAACCTGGGCAAGTTAATCCCTCTACACCTTGGTTTGCCACCTGCGAAATGAAAAATAGCACTTTCTTCTCATATCCTGTTATTCTTGCTTGTATTGTTCTCCAAATTAAAAGCATTTGTCAAAACACTTATCTTTAGCGTTAACACTGGAAATTGCATTCATAGCTAACGTACAATCCGTTTGCATGACTGAGTGTTCATATATGAACTCTTACTATACTTTGCTACCCAGCCATCCTGATCTCACATATGTCAGAAGGGAGCTTTAGTCAAGACAGGAATATTAGAATGCTAAAATACAGTTTATTATTAACGTTATGTATAAAACTAGCTTTAGGGATAGGAGTTAGACCCCCAAATATTCAAATTCTCCTCATTATCTCCTAAAAATCCCACTATAATCATGACATTGGTCTCACTTAATTGACAATCCAGAAGATAATATTATCAGCATAGGTATAATTAAAGCCCAATCCCACGAGGACGTATATGCGGAATCCAATGCCCGCTCCATTAAAATCAGTATAAAGTGAAATCAACTTCAGTGACTTTAGAAGAAGTGTCAAAGCTGCATAAAGTTATGGATAGGAGAAACGAAGGCATGGGTTTTTTGCAGTAGGATTCTTACGCTCACAGCACCCCTTCAAGTGTTTGATTTCAAATCCTAAACTTGCAGAAGATGAAAAATATTTGCCACAGAGCCCAACGCTGTAATGTGTAATTCTGTAGTGTCCCTAAAAGCTCTGCACACAAATCAGTGTAAAGCACAAGTTGCTTTCTTTAGATTAAAATGTGCTGTCATTTCATGCAAATTGGTTTATTTTCTAACATATACAACCAAACATCATCTGAGATCCCTTTATGTAAGAGACACTACAGCATTCTTCCTTTCTCATGTTTCAGTTTCATTAATTCTTCCAATTCCCTGCCCAAACACCATATCCTAAAGACCCAAATTTCACCACTGCCCCACTGACATACAACAAAAAAAGAGCGGTCCCAAAAGTTAGCCATAGAACAATTCCTGAAATTCATGCTTATTAAAAACAAAATTGGTTTAAAAAGTGAATGTCAGAACCCCACTGTTTTCCCAGCTCCAGATACCGATGAAAGAACATACCAAACACTTCCATGAACTTAGGGATCATCACTGTAATGTAAACATTTCATAATAATTTAATTTTCAAAACACTGGACAGCCATGAACTTTTAATATCCCTTTGAAAGAGACGAGTAAGACCCACACAGAAACTGCCTTAGAAGTAAGCTTTCTGCAGCTGACACTGGTTACTAATTCTGTGGAATTATCAGAATCTCAATGCTAGAGAGATGCACGTTTTCTAGAAAGGTCAACAAATAGAAAGGAATTGCTCAAGACTGCTCAGTAAAGTAGCGAGAGAGATAAGCAGGCCTCATCCACACAGGATTTTCTTCAAGATTGCCTTACCACTCTTTAAAAATCCTGTCGTTTCACCTATGGTAGCATTCCTACAACGCAGCTGGCAGTCTGCATACCACAATGTCGTCTAGACCTGCTCTGAACAGAGTTGGATGACACAGGAGTAAAAATGCTGATGCCTGTTCTGGTGCTTGCACTGGAGCTAAAGGAACGATAGGAGGAAGAACAGACATCGCTGAGTAAAACACAAGTTCCTTGTTCCCAGTCTCATGCCCAGGCTCGTCAGACAATTCTGTCAACCACACAGGAAAAGTTGTGGCTGTCGTGAGGCTAAAGAAGAATCTTCACATAAGGGAAAAGAGCGTTCCCAAACCTCACTTTTCAGATGCAGTATCAAACCCTGCTCTTTCACAGAGGCCGGTGCTCCCAGAACATGCAAATAACAAATGCATCCCTGCACAGATAACATATTCCATCCCTTTCTCACTTCTCCCCTACTTCCCTCCCCCATCCGCATCTCGGAGATGTTTTCTTCACAATTTGGAAGAGAAATGGCAAAAAGGGAGATGCAAAACACAGAAATAAATTAAGTTTGTTCTCTGCTGTTGACGGATTTGGCCCTAGCATGATGGGAGAAAAAAAAAAATGTTAAGAGTGATAAATCCATATATACCTACTCCAAACTACACCCGACATCCCAAGGGACATGGTATAATGGTAAATAAATATAGATGCAGTTCCTACTAATGAGGCAGGGTACAGTAAGGCCAAAGAAAATGCAATCATCTCGGGGAAAAAAACTGCACAGGACTCCTCCTCTCCCATCCATGGAGGAAATCAAATGCCAGCTGCACCATCCCAGGAAGGAAGCAGAGTCTGTACCTGATGAGCCCTGCAGAAATGAGCTAGTCATATCACGGGACGCAAGCAGGCACTTCAGGGTTTCGCCAGCCCACAAATCGCCTGCAGAGCACAATCTCTTCTCTCCGATACAGTATATTTTACATGGTATCATTCATGCAAATTGTATTTTTTCCCCACCAGTTTCCTTCTCCTCCATCCCCATTACTTTGAAGCAGGGGCACGTAGCTAGCGTCTATCAGATCTGCTCCGACAGTGCTGGCAAACGCATGCCCTGACCATCACTTTAACGCTTTCCTCCCTACAAACTTTAAATCTTTCCAGCTTTTGTTCATATACATTTTGTACTTCAAACCCACTTATCTGTACTCCCAATGTTACTTGAGCAGGAGAACAAATTGAGATATACCCGACTCCACAAACAGCAAACATGCTTACAATCTTCATTTCCTCTTCCTTCTTCCCTCCCCACCCCCCCAAAAAAAACATTTTTTGTCCCTAACACGAAAGGACTGGGAAAAAAACAGCACACACAGTCAAGGCTGTTTCAGACCCATCGCAAAGAATAAAAAAAAAAACAAAACAAAAAAAAGCTTTCCGAAGAAGTGCTTTGCAAGCATACCAAGAGACGCTCTTAGAACAACTAAGAAAAAACCCATCAGACAAAACTGAGGTTGAAGAACTCGGCTCGGTCTATCTCGCATGTGTGTTTTGCACCTAAAAACACTCGCCTCTTGTTTTGTTTTAACCCCGAACCACAGCAAAACAGTTCAGCGGCATTCCCTGCCGCTTCCTCCAACCCCTCCTAGGGTCAAACACACTGTTTTTCCAAAAAAAGATCCCAGGCACGGACACAAAATCATTTACCCCATCTCTTCCCAAGAAGTACAAAATAAACAAGCCTATGACACCCCACCCAAGCTCTCCTCGCACATTTTGGGAATGACTTCCCTCCGGGTCCTCCTCCTTCCCCCACCCGTTCCCCTGTTAAACTCTCCAGCAACAAGACACCGTTCGGATCACGCCTCTCCCCTCCCCAAAAACCCTCTCCCGAAGCCCCGGGAGCTGCAAAAGATCTGGGATCCAGCGGGGTTTGGGGCACCCGTGGCCCCCGTTCCCCACCATCTCCACAGGCACAAAGCACCGGGGATCCCCTAGAAAGGAGCCCCCGGAGCCCTCGCACTCCCACGGCGGCCCCGCAGCCCCCCCCAGCCAGGGGGGAGCCCCCCGGCAAAGCCCCGGCGAGGGGGGCTCGGTGCCGGGCGCGATCGTCACGGTGAAGCGGGCTCCAACCCCGCGGGGTCGGAGCCTCCCTCCTTCCCCGGCCAAACTACCGCCGGGCCGGGGCACCCCCACCCCGGGGTCCCGGGGACAGGGAGCGGGGGTCCCCGCCGCCCTCTCGCACCAGCCTAGCCCCAAACTCAGCGGCGAACAAAACCGAAACAACACCACAAAAAAAAATAAAAAAAAAAATAAAATAAAATAAAGCCACTCTGTCTCTTTGCCGCATCTACAAGTTCACACAGAGCCTGTTAGCTGGCACGGCTTGGCAAAGCAGGGGAACTTCTTGCCATGTCGAGACGAGGCGTTCTTGGGAGATTATTTCTCTTGGACAATTCACATCATTTGTGGTCTCTGCATTGTGTCTTGATGTGGAGAAGAATACCAGTGAGAATAGCCAGGCATGTAGCTGTTGGGAGGCATATTGACTCCCTTGGCAGAAGCTGAAACGTCCCAGACCGGAGGCAGAGCCGGAGAGCGGGGGGAGAGGGCGGCGGAGCCGGGCAGAGGGTCGCTCTCGTGGGGGTTGCTGCCCTGCTTCAGCAGCTTCTTGAATTTGGAGCGCTTGTTCTGAAACCAGATCTTCACCTGTAAAGCAAAAGGCGGCAGATATTAGGCTGCCGTCAGCACCCAGGGCACGGCAGGGGAGACGCCGGGGGCCGTGGGTTTGCTGGAGAGAAGGTCTTGAGAGCCCACGCCAGTCGGGTGTGGGGATGGGGATGGGGAGAGGGGAAGGGGCGCTGAGGGGGGCGGGCCCGGCGCTCTGCTCCCCTCAGCAGCCGTTAAACGGTCGGCGGGGAGCTGAGGGGACGGAGGCCGGGGGGCGGGAAGGGGGACCGGCCCGGGCAGGCGGGGCCCCCCCGGGCCCCCGGCGGC